CCTTCCAACCCAAAGCATTCTATGATTCTATGATTCTATCAACAAAATCTCTATTAGAAATTCTATGACTAGGACACAACTACTTTAAGTAGCATGACATGCATGTAGCAGAAATTAAAAGAAGGGGGGGTGGGGAAGGCTAAAATCTGCATGAATAAAACATCAGGATCTAAACAGCTGGTGCTAGACACATGTCCAGAGCCACACTTCAGTCTTTTTTAGCAGAAAAGGCTGATGAAGCACAGGTAAAAGGCTCCTCTCTGGTCTGTGGACTCCTGATCCTTCCCAGGCAGCTGACTGATCACAGTTTTGCATAAAAAGGATTATTTGAACTTTTTTTCCCCCCCTTCCCTAGACAGCTGTGGCAGCTGCCAAAAAATGACTACAGCAAATACCCTCATGCTGGCATGGTTGTTAACTTTCTGGCAAGCCTACACATTTCTACTTCTTTGTAACTCCTACTGTCTTCCCTTTTGTGTATTACTTTTATACACAGCTCAGAAATTGGCTATCCATGACTGCATACAGCACTCAATACAAGGCTCTAGAGTAACTGTGATACAATGAAAATAGATTCGGAGAATAAATTTCCAAGTGGAAAAGCCTGTTTCCATTTAAAGTATACCACTAACTATCAAATGCTTATCAAGTCACTGTTAAGATGGTCACTAATTGCTAGACCACGTAGAGATACTTTTTCTCCTCTCCTGCTTGTGCTTCACCTTTGCATAGCAATCTTCACATCCAATAGTTCCCAACATTTTTGATCTTGTATCTAATAATCACTTTGGCATTTTTAAGTTCACTGTCATTTAATCTTATTCAAATCAACATGTTTTGTTTGATTTTTTTTTTTTCCTGGTGTGTATTAAGGATCTAACACTGAAGTACTCAGTCACCTACAGTGTAGTTTCAGAGCTGTCACAACAGACTGGATCACATTTTCTTTCCACAGAAAGAAATAAATCTGTGGAACTCCACCATAGTAGATGTAGAGAAAAAAGATGTAGTCACTGGATAGACTAGCTTATATCCTACTGTCCTCATGACTGGGACATTAACAACAAGCACACAGTACAGGCATCAAAGAATTCAGAAGTAACCCAGCCAAGCGGATCCCAAATACACAAAATGCCTTCCTAGGTCCTCTACTACAGATACTGCTCAGCTGAAAGAAAGCCACCATCTTGAGTCAACTACCATAAAAAACTTTCCACCCTAGTACAGAGTGGGTGTAGCTACCCACTCAACAGCAAATATCTATGTTCCAGGCCAAACAAGCTGTCAGAGGACCTAAATATTGTTTCTACCTGATTTAAAAAAAAAAATAAAATTAAAGTCTACACAACCTGATCAAGAGGAAAAGACTAAAGTGAGAGCCTATGCCATTTGTCCACAGATACGATCATAAAAGGTTAAGAACCAGATTGCATTAAAATAACATGAACAATAATAATCAGCATATTACAAAAAAATTAAAACAAAGGTGCAGAATGAATACAAGCAGCAAAATATGCAGTCTATAGACTATTCTATTCCATGAACTCACAGGAATTAAGAAAATACTTCTACAGGCATGTTACTCCACAAGATATACACTTCAGGGGTTCCTTGCCTTCCTTTCTGAAGCCACTTATCTCCCAATAAAGAACCAAGAAACTCATAATCAGCTAAATGATTTCTTAAATGATAATCCTTAAGTCTTAAGCAAGACCTGCAAACTACAAAAATCACAAATGTGGACTTCCTCTAATGAAAGAAACAGGCGGATAAGCTAATTTCAACCTATTCCTCAAAAACATTTCTGGACTGCATGGATATCTTGAATTCTCAACAGGGATCCTCAGCTTCTCAGGTAAAGCTCTCCAGCTCCATACAGATGTTCAGTGTTTCAACATATTGAAGTCACAAGAAAAGATACTGCCACTGGCAGCCAAATATCCCAACTTCTAATGGCCTTCAATATCTGCCACCTTACAGAAGACAATAATCAGTGGAAAAATCTAACCACATGGTAATGCATTCTTGCATATACACATCCCCTATGTTCAGTCCTTTACTCACCAGAAGACAGAAGAGTGACCCCACAGCATTTGTTGTCCCTTTGAATTTTCTTGGAAGTTCCCAAATAAACCTCCCCACCCCCCCAAAACAAAACCCCAAACAAAAAAACACTGGAATTGTTATGTTTAGGTTTTTCCCTTTGTTAAAAGGTAGAATTCTGTTAACTAGAGCTTCAGTTTATTTTCCTTCTGTTAAAAGGCAGATTTTTATTAACTAGTGCTTGAGTTTATTTTATACAGTGTCCTGCAGGTACATTGATTTTTTTTTTTTTTTTTAAAAAACCTTTTTAAAGCTCATAACTCTCCCTCCAGAGAAGAGGTCCACTTGTTAAAGAAAAATGCAGCACTAAGGAAATGTAGTAAACCCACTTTATTATCAGATTTTTCTGTGTGGAAGATGACTCCTGCTGGTGTTTAATTTCATTAAGGAGGAAAACTACACAAATATGAACTTAAAAGGGACAGTTTCAACACGTAAAAAAATACTTACTCTGTAAATAGTGCAAAACCATCAATACAAGACTATAGCTGTTTAAAGTACCACGACTGGCATCATTTATGTCATGAAAACTCGCCCACTTCTTAACAACAAGTACTAATGGACGAACTCGATTCTCAACTGCAAGTAAAATAAATACGTCTCAAAAAAAGCACATTTAACTAGACAGCAATCAATCAACATTTCTTCCTACTTGATCAACGTGATACTCTTGTATTCTAAGGTTACCTTTTGCAACCATTTTATAGAATTTACTTAGTTATTCTCCAACTACTATCCATCTTACAAAAAATCACAAAAAATACTTGCATTTGAAAACAGTCTTTTGAGTAGCAAGATCCACAGACACATTACAAGGGGTATGCCACGTAACTTGCAGATAAGACAAAACTGGATGCATGAGTCAATGTAGCAGTGTCACATTTTACTTTTAAGTTCTCTCCAGTTCATTGTACTGATTTTCCCTGAATTAACTTGCTGCCAAGACAGACCACTTTTTTTTTTTTTTTTTTTTTTAAATTTAGGTTATATAAACTTTGAGGGCAGGGAAAAGAATTCTGGTTGGAGGACACAGAGCTCATTCTTAAGTTTTCATCAGGATCCATGAAAGTAGTAACCCCTGCATACGAACATTAATTTTAAATTTGCCTGGTCCTCAATAGCTTTTTATGGCGATGAGATGTTAGATACAGTAACTCATTAAATCAAGACACACGCTTTTAATGACGAAAGACATAAATACAGCCATATTCCAGGTATGATCTTCTGAATTTCTGGGGAATATAGATAGCCTTCTAATTAAGATAGCAATGTGTTGTAGGGAGATGTCACTCACCACCACCTCCTAGGGACCCTGCAGCATACTTTGCAGATACATGGAAGCAGATCATCAGGTCAGTCAAGTGCCTTATGATGGACTTACAACACCTTATATGCTCTGGAGTATCTTTTCTAACCTAACAACATTGTGCGAAGTTTTGTATTCTGCACATCAGGACAGGAATATATCAACAGGTTATCACTTCATCCAGGACAACAGACATCCTGCAACAGCACCAGCTGGGATACTCTGTTATTCTGAAAATCCCATCAAGCATGTGACTTTCTCACAACCTGTTCACAGTGGTTCAGCACATGTGCCCCTGTAAGTGGTACTCTTTTCTCAGCATGAATATCCTAGATCTGGAAGACCTCTTAGAAACAACAAAACTCACCACCACCAGTCACCTCATTCCCGACATTATTCACCAGTGGTTGAACTAAAAAAATATGACTATTAGTATGCTGTGAGATGCAGAAGAACTACTGTACAGCCATATGAACGTGCATTAACTGAAATATGTTTTTTCCATGAGAGAAAAATGCAGATAGGCTCAAATTCTAAATGGGACTGTTTTTTGTGTGTGTGTGTCACAGTACAAAATGTTTTTAGTTGACATTATTCTGAGATAAGGCTAGTGCCTGTAATTAGTATATAACAAAGTTAGTGTGCAACATGGTCAGTAAACTTTTCCTGATACTCTTTCATCAGTCAACAAACTACCCCTTCAAGAAGATGCTCAGGAATGTCATTTGCTCAAAGGTCCAGCCTCTACTAACTGAAAAGTACCTACCATCAACTGCTGATTTAATTGCAGACATGCCTCCTTAGGCAAACAACTGATAACACAACAGCATAGACTTCAGTTTCTAGCTCTGCTTAATCTACCTACATTTTCTGTGGACATTCGGCTTCACTTTGCCGTATCATCTTTGATGTTTTCTACAGCACCAATGCACTGACATAGAAAGGCTGATTTCAAAAAAGACACGAATCCACAGAAATATTTATGAATTTTTTTTTAATCATGCTCACTTAAGATAACCAGTCCCTTGTTTGCTTAAGCATCTATTTTGTTCCATTAGAACAAAAAGACCCATACATATTCCACACAAGAGGTAATTTGATCTTTTCTCCCATGCAGGGTGAAGCCCTTCAGCCACAAATTTAACTGAGCAGGCTAATACTTTTAATGCTATCCACCCTGATTGATACAACTTCTAAAAGTATGTAAAGAGACTGTGTGACAAAAGTTTCCATTTACTTTTGTTTGTCTTATGTCACCTAAGACTCTTCTGTTCCAAAGAAGACAAGACAGACTATGCTTGATACAGTTTGCCTATTAAGAAGGTCTAGCACATTGAGGAGATAGTATTTTTAATCACAAGCCTCCGTTAGCTACCCACGCACTTCTTGACCTCAAGAAAGCAACAATATTTATCCTTCATCGGGAGACATAAAGTTAATTTTGCTGGCCTTAGAAAAGTGGGCACCAAGGCAGAACAGAGGAAAAGGACCCCTTCCACCGCTCTTTTCACTCTCGTCTGCCCTGCAGATTTGTTGAGAGGAATAAGGGAAATCTGTGGCAGAATCTAGGAACAACTATATCAACATTAGACTTGGTGAAGTGACCCCTCACCTGTAGCTATGAATGACAAAGATTATTTCCTTAACCTTTTTAAGCTTGGAAGGAAATCCTTCTCCAGGCATATGTGTTCCTGGATGTATGAAGAAATTACAGTTAACCAGCTGATCCAGGACAAGTTGTAGACTCTTCTAATAATGTGAGTATGGAACACTGAAAGTACTCTGACTGAAATATTAGTAAAAGTTAACTAATAAAGGTTAACTTCTACTGGTAACTTCCTACCCTAAATAGAAAGGAATTCCTGTATGCAAGAACTGAAGAAGGTGGTAAAGGAAGAGCCACAAATGGCCTAGAGGAATTAGCCTGAGGTCTACCCCTTATGTATTTATCTGCCAAATGACATTGTGATGCTAAGTAAGAAAACCTTAGTTTAGCACTAAGAGTGCTGTTCTTATTACTTCCCCTTCAGAAGTCTGTTTCACAGTCTTTTCCTAAAGTGCAAACTCCTGAGGAGACACAAACCAGTTTTGTTCTGGGGTTAGTATAAAAACTGAAGCAGTATTTCATATTTTCCAATTAAAGAGTCTGTAACAGCATACAGACACAGCTAGCTATCAGCCACACATACCTACCAGTGGCTGTAAGGAAGTAAAAGAAACTGGAGATTATACTGCTAGATAGTCATTAGTATAATGATCTCATTATCTGCAGAATACTGAACCAGCCCTTGTAGCAGATACATGGACCTTAATATGAAGAATCTTTGTTATCTTCTGAATATTATAATGTTCAATTAAAAACATACCTAGCATTTATCAGTTTCCTCTATATATTTACAGTGAGCAACAAGAAGTTATCTTAAAGCTATCTAATGTGGCTCACTAGGTACTTTTATATATAGTAACCTAATATATTCAACTGAATTTTAATAGTCTATCAATACCAAGCCACAAATTTAAACACCAAAGTTTATAGAAATAAGAAAATACATTAAAAACTTACTGTATGCATAGGTTCTCAGAAGGAATGTATTTCTTATTCCTACAACATTGTTTACATTCAAGTCAAACTCCACACAGCTATTGGGGAGGAGAAAAGAAAAAGAAACAAGCATCATGGTATTCAATTTCAGAATATTTATTACCTACTTAGTGACAGAGGGGGAGAAATGTAACATTACGGTGATACTCTAGAAACTTTCTTAAAACAGATGATGCTGTGATTTCTACTGTGGTTTTGTTTATAGTACTTTAATTGCTTGTAGACTTGAATTCCGTTGTTATAAAAATGTAACTGTTGTTTTACATAGAGAACACATGTAGATCCAAATTTAGACCTTAGGACAACTTAAGATATCAAATATGTTTTGCATTTTTAACAAATCTTTCTCCCGACTAGAATTCCACTACATGACTTACTATGGACAATTTCTGATGCCAGGAAGGATTCTCTGAGGTATCAGTTTAGGAAATCATGCCAATTAACTGAGGAGATTTGGAAGGGGTCAAAAGGTAAGAATCACTTTTCTGCAATGATGGTCAGAGATAATCAGCACGCACTTTGAAATGAAAAGTGTTTATTAGTAAACACTGCGTGTTTTGTGATAAAACAGTTTTAATAATGGTTTCATGCTGTTAGCAGCAAATAAGAACAAGGCAAACAAGCACTACCTGCTTTATTTATATCACACCCCACCCCAAAGTTTGAATTTCATACTGCATATAGAGCTTAACTACTCACAGTACTGAAGAAACTATGTTAAATTCACAGTTAATAAGCTATAGCAACACTATAACTCAAACAAGAAGAGCCTATTATTGACAAAGAAGTAGCTATCTGCAATGTACAGCTATTTCCATTTTAGATATCCAAGTCTCATTCACATAGCATTTGTTTGCCTGAATATTCGTTTGGATTTTCTTGAATTATAAGGGGAACATGGACCTGGAATTTCTTAAACTGAAGAAAACACCCTAATTTGATGCCTACAAAAGGTTTTTGACATCATTAACTACATTAAACCATTCATCAAAAATACTACATAATTTTAAACCTGAAGTAATATCAAGCAAGACTTTTTAGATGTTTTAAGAGCATAGTACATAATACTACAGGAAATAAACAAGCTCAAGCTACTGCTTATCAGTTGTAAAAATAAGCATATGCACCAGTAAGAATATCAGTTGAATGTGCAAATACAATAAAGAAATATGTCAGGCTGCATGTGTAATTCCAATTAACCCCAATTGACAAGATTACTGTTTACCAGATGCTGATTAAGCCAAGTTCTATTGCAGTTATTTTGTACTTTAAGATGCACATTTAATAGATGTTGCAATTATGGCAAGTGAAAAAGGTTTGTACTGTTGAGATTCAAGTTCTACCAAAAGCACTAAAGGAGAGGAAAAGAGTCAACTGCACATCAAATGCAGCAGAAGAGGAAGCTTTTGCATCCTCTGTAGTACAGAAGTGGTGTTAATTAATCAAAAGCTTGTCGTGTAGCAGAGCCAATACTGGAATTATTTCCTGGGAAAGACTACCAAAAAAGAAAAGATACTAAGTTTTTAAGTGCAATGGATCTTCCCTTACTGTTACAGCATTAAAAAACCCTTTAAGATGAAAAAGGAGAACACACACAAACTGAATGCCTTCTCATTCACCAAATCAAAGTGGGAAATGGCAATTTTCAGGTACATATGGACCATTGGCAACACATTAGAATCCAGACGCAGACATACCACCCACTGAATTCTACCACCTTCTCCCAGCAGCTGGGCATCAAGAAAACTGGCTTTCACAGGAAGCTTGTCATGTTTAGTTTCTGGTTTTGGCTAAAGCAAGCTTAGGGCCCTGGGTACAGAATATCCAATCCACTTTTCAAGACCTCTGTTAAACAATCAATGAGTGTGCATGTATGTATTATGTATAAGCCTACAAAAGACAGAGGCTGATGAGCGATTGGAAACAGATGCTTAAATAAAAAGACAAAATGTGGGTGGAGGTGACAGGTTACATAGGAGAAAAATATATGGAAAGAGGTGGGGGGGATCCAAACAAAAAACCCAACCCAAAGTCATGTCGTTCTCCCTCTTCTAAAAAAACAACACAGGAAACCAGATGGTGAACAGTACTGATTTTTCTCTGAAAAATCTAATGGGCAGCTTGTAGTCTAAGAAGATCTTAGATCTTAGGCCAGTGTTGTTTAAAATCGTTATCAACGATCTGGATGAAGGGATTGAGTGCGCCCTGAGTAAGTTTGCAGATGACACCAAATTGGGTGGGAGTGTCAATCTGGTCAAGGGTAGGATGGCCCTGCAGAGGGATCTGGACAGGCTGGACTGATGGGCTGAGGCCAACTACATGAAGTTCAACAAGGCCAAGTGCTGGATCTTGTTGACCAGTGAGCACTTGGCTCACAACAACCCCATGCAACGCTACAAGCCTGGGGAAGAGTGGCTGGAAAGCTGCCTGGCTGAAAAGGACCTGGGGGTGTTGGTAGACAGCCGGCTGAACATGAGCCAGCAGTGTGCCCAGGTGGCCAAGAAGGCCAACAGCATCCTGGCTCGTATCAGGAATGGTGTGGCCAGCAGGAGCAGGGAAGTGATCGTCCCCCTGTACTTGGCACTGGTGAGGCCACACCTTGAATACTGTGTCCAGTTTTGGGCCCCTCAATACAAGAAAGACATTGAGGTGCTGGAGTGTGTTCAGAGAAGGGCAACGAAGCTGGTGAAGGGTCTGGAGCACAAGCCTTATGAGGAGCGGCTGAGGGAACTGGGGCTGTTTAGCCTGGAGGAGGCTGAGGGGAGACCTTATTGCTCTCTACAACTACTTGAAAGGAGGTTGTAGTGAGGTGGGTGTTGGTCTCTTCTCCCAAGTAGTTAGCAATAGGATGAGAGGAAATGGGCTCAAGCTGCACCAGGGGAGGTTTAGACTGGATATTAGGAAAAATTTCTTCACGTAAAGTGTAGTCAAGCATTGGAACAGGCTGCCCAGAGAGGTGGTGGAGTCACCATCCCTGGAAGTGTTCAAAAAACAGGTAGATGTGGCACGTGGGACATGGTTTAGTAGGCATGGTGGTGTTGGACTGACGATCTTAGAGACCCTTCCCAACCTTAATGATTCCTAGTTTTTACTTTCCTTAAAAATAATCCAGCCACCAAGCCAGGAAACGTGAAATTGCTGCTTCACCCTTAGTTGGTTTAGTGGTGGACTTGGCAAGGTTAGATTAACGGTTGGACTGGATGATCTTAAAGGTCTTTTCCAACCTAAACGATTCTATGATTCTAAGATTATACTTTGATTTAGCAGGAAATAAAGAATTCTTTAGATCCTGTCTGTAAGGTATATAAATATCATGACTATTACTTTTTTTGGTGACTGTAGTATGAAATATAAAAGCCTACAGAAAGACTTAAATCTTCTGACACAATCACTTCCATACTTATTTTCTGATTTTAAGTTGGAAAAAAAAATTCTTGCTATAGCTCCATGATTTTCAATATTTGTACAAGGAATCTACCACTTAGTGTATCTATGAAAAGGCTAGCATTGTTATATGTAGCCAAGCCATTTAACCCAAATTTTACTTTGACGAGTTTAATACTTTCAGAAAGCATGGGAGAAACAACCTTCTGAACTCTTAGAGGAGAAAGGTCCTAGATAAAAATCATTCAAATTTTTAAAAGGGAGGCAAGTATACAGTAGTAAGTATGGGATTAGGTGTAAATGGAAAAAACTGTACAGCAAAAACCCTAACAAGTGTTACACAATCTCAGATGCAAGAAAAGCTTAAATGGATGGTATTTATTAGTTCAAATTGTAAACATGACAGATTCCGTTTTATCACAGCAGGGTTTCTGCCCTGATAAAGGTATATTGTGATAAAAGCACACTGTGATATGCTTTTATAAAGAGAAGCCAGAGAAGTGGGCTTGTTTGTTTTTAAAAGACAGAGACAGGGCTGCAAAATTTTAGAAGCATATAGGCAGGATAAGGTAGTTACATACAAGAGAGTTGTTCAAAGTCCTATTTACAAAGAATAGTCAAGCTATATTATTCCATGAAGGTGATACACACAAGTCTTACAAAATCTAAGCCCATAAATATAGGAAGATTTGAACATTACTCAGACTCCCAACCAATTTGAGCGCTTTGCACAGTTTTTCCTTCTGTCAGATACTTTTATCATGCACAATAAGAAATACATTGTCCTCTGTCCTAGTACATCCCTCTTGATTATTCATTTTCATGTCTTCATAATGAAGATACGATGAATACAGTAACATACAACACGTCCATTTCTCTCCAATTACTCCCCCCTTCTAAAAGTCATAAAATTAGTACCTAACACTGTGAAAAGAACATGTAACTACTTTGTTAAACAGAACGCCTCCTTAGAAGACAGCAGAATATACTCTTCTAAAATGAAGAAAAATTTTTTAATCAAGAAAACAATGTCATCACAAGAAACTAAAGTTTGTTTTAGTGTTGTTTGTGTAGTGTAAATGCTGTGAATTAGTCCTTAAGTAGCTCAACAGTTATGTTTGCACAGCAACCAAAACTATCTTTCACAACAGTTTTCTTCCCACCGTTGACACCTGGAGTCCACTATGTACAAATAACCCATAGAAATACATGATGTACTGCTACTAATTCACATCACAGAAACTAAACAGCATCTCAACCACAAGAAATGTTTCAGGCCATCAAGGAAGTAAGCTGACTGCCACTGTATGCTGCTAGCTGTACAAATTTGCAATATGACTATAGCACAACACAAATAAACAAAGCATGACTTCAGTGGGACTACTCATATAGACAGTACATATATAGAGTACTTTCCTGTGTCAGTCTAAAAAATTATGTTGAACAGAATACTTGCCTGACTTTATCCCTGAACCTCACTATTGGCACTTTTGCTCGAATCAGCTGAGGTCGCTCAATGTAGCTTGCTGAAAGGGAGAAAAATATGCAAATAAGTTTCCTGTAAGATGCTGATCTTAAAATAAAATCCTAAAGTGGAGTCATATTGATGGATTTATAGCAAATAGTAGCTTATTAACTTTAGCAAAAATATTCTCAGAAGGGTTGTGCTAAACTAAGTAACCTTTAACTTCAAGCAAATTTTAGCAAAAATACAGTCTAGGAAAGTGTGTGGAAAGAAATGCACTAAATGTTACAGAAAAACATTAGCGTAAGATTTTTCTGGGCAAAGTATATTCAATAAATTTGAACATAAGGAATGCAGTTCTACAACGCTTCCCCTGAGCTGTACTTGTAATAGAAATCCCAAACAGTTATAATTAAGATTCAAAAAGAAGACAGCAAGAACATATCCATCCAGGATGGCTGGACACTTAAGCCCAGCACTACACTGTAGCAATGGGCACATGATCAGCTGCATACGTTTCAATTGTGTCTAGTTTGCCTACAGGTGAAATTACACATTTTACTGATCAAAAAATATTAACATAACTCTATCTTCACTACGCGATTATGCTTAAAAATTCCTTTAAAAACTGCTAATTTGACTGATGAAGTACATACCAAGAAATAAATTTCCAATCGAATTGTTACTGAAAACAGGACAACACTTTCCATCACAGATGGGATAAGCTTCATTTGCCTTTTGCTTTAATGGTGATAGGACATGCAGTAAATATATAATCACAGGACTGCACCTCAGATGATTACCCATGCAGTACAGACACATAGGCTCAATGCCAGACCATCCAAACCCAAAAATATTAAGCTCTGCCAGACTCATACAGTGCCACCAAATGCACCTTTGCACTCAGGTCCCCAAAACTGTTGTGTCAATCATATTAGCTGCAATTTCCCTACTCTTAATGATATCTCATGCTATGTTTAATAGTTGCCCATAATCCTGAATGAGAAATGTGCCCAAGAAAGTAATGCAAAACACAAAGAAAAGCAGAGCCTGTAGGTTACATTATACAAATTTGAACAAGCAGCACAATTTTAGTAATTTCTTCTGTTGCAAAATCTAGGAGCACTTGAATTTGCCCATATGCAACATCATACATCTTCCCCTTGCTTCTATGAATTAACCTCAAATTAGCATAAGTAAGTATGACAAAGCTAGAAGTAATACAGACTAAAAATAACCTTAAATAAAAGCTGATCTTCACTTTTTTTGGGGGAAAAAACCCAAAGCAAACAGGTATTTCTAATGGTTTGGATAGCAACTTTGATTAAACAGTGTCATCTCCATTGCACTTGGGTGACAACTTCAGGTTTGGTAGAACCCTACTGTGCAACATTCAATTAAAACAAATTTTACTTTTTTTTTGAGACTTTCTGAAAGTGTTTTATGGATACACACAGTTAGACGGATTTGACCTGAGGTAATCTTTTATCTGGATTTGAATTCATTGTATGATCCTAAGCAACACACAAACTGGCACTTAAGAAAACAGATAATCTTACTAATTTACTAATTTTAAAGGGAGAATCTTACAGAACTCCAATCCACGTTCACTAAACACACAATCTAGTATGACTTACACAAGCATCCCCTCTTTCTAGCTGCACCTGCAGACACATCCAAATATCCCTCCTCCAACATCCCAGAGCATTCTTAAAGCAAAGCAATAAAGCATGTAGAGTGCTCTGCCTCTGTCCTGGTTTCGGCTAGGATAGAGTTAATTTTCCCCCTAGTAGCTGGCATAGTGCTGTGGTTTGGATTTAGTATGAGAATGCTGATAACACACTGATGTTTTAGTTGTAGCTAAGTAGTGCTTACACTAGTCAGGGACTTTTCAGCTTTCCATGCTCTGCCAGGTTGCACAAGAAGCTGGGAAGGGGCGCAGCCAGAATAGCTGACCCAAACTGACCAAAGGGCTATTCCATACCATATGACACCATGCTCAGTATATAAACTGGGGGGAGTTGGCTGGGGGGCAGCGATTGCTGTTTAGGGACTGGCTGAGCATCAATCAGCAGGTGGTGAGCGGCTGCATTGTGCATCAATTGTTTTGTGTATTCTTTTATCATTATTATTACTTCTGCTGTCCTATTAAAGTGCTTTTATCTCAACCCACAGGTTTTACTATTTTTTTTTTTTCCCCTGATTCTCTCCCTCATCCCGCTGCAGGTAGCAGGGTGAGTGAGTGGCTGTGTGGTGCTTAGTTGCCAACGGGGGTTAAACCACAACAGTCATATTTTGGTGCCCAACATGAGGCTCAAAGGTTGAGGTAACAACAGATCTGACCACAGCATGTCCAAACTTGCTATAAGCATCCATTATATTAGTTTAGTAATCACTGGTCACCATGTTGATTTTCTTCCTCTCAAGAGTTGTATTTGTTCTCAGAGTTGTGTTATGTAACACCTTACTTGCCATATAAACTGTTTATCAGTGTTTATGTGCTGTTTATCACCTCTGGGAGATGGATAAAGGTTATCACTTTGCTGTACTGTGCAACATCGGCTTAAGGCATGATAAAATTATTGGTCATGAGATCAATCTTGTATTTGTACTCAGAACTGCCATCACATCTATTGTAAATTATTAATAATTATGCTTTTTACTTTTTCTCCTAGAGCCAACCTATAGGGGAGACACCTTCTTCCACCTTCCCCTTCTTCTCCAGCCTAATTACCATAGCTCTTGAGAATTTTTAAAATTCTTGGGATGTTCAAACCAGCATGTTCCTGTTGCTATGTCTCCTGAATGCGTGTCAGGTCTTGCTTAGGGTTAAACAAATATTTAAGAATACTGCGGCTACTCAAACACCTGTGGCAGGCACTGCGGCTGAACCAGAGAACCAACTCATGTTGGTATCCGTCACCCCCATACACAAGAATAAATCTTGGAAGCAAAAGTCAGCTCATTTAGTAAGGGATGAAGAAGCTTCTCCTAAGAGGAAACAGGAGGAAGAAGCATACTGCCCCGCCCATGAGGAGGCAGACTACTCTAAGGCAGGACCATCACAAGAACAGGAGGAAGAAGAGGAAGAATTCCCTGCTTCCCCTCAAGGAAGAACTTGGCAGGAGCATTCCTGAGAGGGATAGGAAGAACTCTTTAAAACACGGAAACCACCTGATCTGTATTCCTGAATGAGCTGCGAGATATGCAAAAGGATTTCAGCTGTCATCCAGGTGAGCACATTGTCACCTGCCTGCTCCAATGCTGGGATAATGGGGCCATAAGCCTGGAATAAGGAAGCTAAGCAGCTGGGATCCCTTTCTAGGGAAGGGGGCATTGACAAAGTGATTGGAAAAGGAGCACAAGCCCTCAGCCTCTGGAGATGACTCCTGTCAGGAATGAAGGAAAGGTCTATCTTCAAGAAGATGTTATACGTCACCCAGGCAAGTGGATCACCATGGAGAGAGGTATCCAGTACCTGAGGGAATTAGCTGTGCTGGAGGTGATTTATAATGACCTGGACAACAAGCAGCTATCCAAAGATCCAGATGAAGTCAGGAGCACATGACCCACGTGGCAGAATTTTGTATAGAGCACACCATCATCATATGCCAACTCACTGGCAGTAATACCTGGAAAGATGCAGAGGGAGAAACGGTGGATGAATTGGCTGGCCAACTCCAGCAGTACAATGGAAGTCTCTCTTCCTCCTTCATCTGAGCTGTGGAGAAACTGTCCCAGGAAGTCCAGCAACTCAAAGAGGATAGGTCCTACTCTCCACCTATACAGAGCAATATCTCAGCTATCAGGAGTAAGCGTTCTTCTGCTCAAGAGAGAGAATATAGAGAGTACACACCATGGGGCACCCTATGGTTTTACCTGCATGACCATGGAGAGGATGGAAGTGGGATGAAAAATCTACCTCAACCCTAGAGGCATAGGTACATGAGTTGCAAAGAAAAACAATCACACGAGGGGGTTCTTCCAGGAAAATTGCTGCTCCAGTTTCCAGTGGGCAGTTCCCCAGACAGAGCAGAATGGCTGATCTTACATCTGACCTTAATGAAGGGACTCTTGACTCACATCTACAAGAAGTGAGTAACAAATACTATGACCAGTACTAGAGGGACCCTGCCTCCAGCCAGGTGGAGGAAAGGGACAACTGGATTTACTGGGGTGTGTGGATTCAATGGCCTGACACATCAGACCCACAGAAGTATAAGGCTCTAGGGGACACTGGTGCACAGTGTACCCTAATGCCATCAAGCTACACAGGGGCAGAACCCTTCTGTATTGCTGGAGTGACAGGGGGATCCCAACAGCTAACTGTATTGGAGGCTGAAGTGAGCCTAACTGGGAATGAGTGGCAAAAGCACCCCACTGTGACTGGCCCAGAGGGTCCATGCATCTTTGGCCCAGACTAC